TCAAAGAAGGCACCTCTCCATCTCAATCCTGGCCATGCGATACGCACAAAGCATTTCAGGGAATTCTCATAACACTAATCGCACCAGTTTCCACTACCAATGGGTGGCCCATTGCGTAGTGGTCAGTATAGCAGTATCAAAACAACACAGTAAAGCATTAATCGTTACATCGCAATCAGTCAGTACCCCGTGACTAACAATTTTGGTTTCATTGCTAAGCTTTGAGTCTCGTTCAGAGCTATCAAACTATAATGTACACTATGCCACTTAGCATAAGGCATCCATCATAAGAGGGCTCTCTCATGGCATTTACACTCATCAATTAACATTCATAACTTGTAGTCTCATTCATGCAATATATATTACAGAGCTATCACAGAGCATACACATTTATCAAATGATCGTTTATTGCATGGTGGCATAGCATTATTCGTATAGTTACATGGATGTTAATATGCATAACTCATCACAGGGAGGCCATTCAAAAACATTTAGGTTTATCAATTATCATTCTTTACACTTGTTACATAAAAGCATCAGTGAATCGTTCAGCAAGTGAATATAATTTTATTTCATCCACAACTGTGGCGTCCTCATAGGAAAAGGGCACTATTTTCAAACATTGGAGAGCTTTAGTGTGGTTCAGAAGTTGATTACAAAATAGACTTACTTAAGGCTCATTTGAAAGTGAATTGAATGCACGTGAGTGTAAATCATTTATTTCTAAAACAAACACAAATCTGAAAATCTCTGTGTTATGTAACAATGACGTACCTCCTTTTCTTGGAGGCATAACTCCCAATCTAGGGAGAATCTCAAAATGATTAAATCTTTAAAATGGCGGTGGTTTGAGAGCATTTGGAAATCATTAGGTAGGATAAAATCTTAGCACAAAATAGATGATGGCAGCTGGGATTTCTTGCCACTGTTAACAGTGACCTACTCCCACATTTTGGGACGTAGCTCACAATCCATAGAGAATTTCAAAATGGTGTCAACATGAAATTTTAAGTTCACTCATAGATATTTCAAGTGACAGTGGTTTGAAGAGATTTGGACGATGTTTGATACCTCAAAACTTTACACAAAGTGAGTGACAGTTGCTAGAATTTCCTACAACAGTGAACAATAATGTGTCCCAGCATTTCGGTGCATAACTCTTGATTCGTGGAGAAATTTCAAAACCCTCAAAACATGCAAATTCAAGCTTGTTCAGAGATCTTTCAGATGGCAAAGGTCTGAAAACCATTTAGATATCATTTGGTAGTTCAAAAGCTCGACGTAGAACGGGTAATTATTGCTGGGAATTCCAGCCACAGTGACAGTGACATTGCTCACTCTTCAGGGCATATCCCTTAATCCAACAAGAATTTTAATGAGATGCAAAAAGAAAATTAAAGTAGACAAACGTATCTTTCATTCAAAACCAATATAGGCTCGTTTGGATCTTGATTGGCCACTGAAAAGGGCAATGCAAGAACAATTACAGTTATGGAATTTCCACTCTCAAGTTTAGCATACATTCCAAGGACATTCAATACCGCATAAGCCAAAGCAAATCTTGATGCAAAACTAAGTTCATATTAAATTAATCCCACAAGTGAAGTACTTCACACACTTCCACCACAAATAGAATCATATACAGGGCTCAATTGATCTTGACATCTGAGATTTCAAACTCATCATAATGCATTCATTCTCATACATTTCATCCTAACATTTTCCCTCACTTTCAACACTTAGCATAAATTCCTATAAAATTATTGATGCATAATAGCTAGACTCACTTACTTGATGCTCACGGTACTCCTAAACTCCACACACAGGCCACTCTAACCTCCTCGACAAGGCTCCCCAACGGCAGCAGTAAAGGGGTTTCACACTTGAGCTCTAGAGAAAGTTGGGAGAGAAAAGGGAGATGAGCAGATGGCGGAGGGGTGAAGAAGAGTGGGGCTCAAGTACCCGAGGGTAGGTGGGGTTCATTGTGGCTGACGCTAGCCATGCAGGGCGCTGACAAGTATGACACATTGCTGACAGGTACAGCATGATGCTGACAGTTGTACAAGTTTGACCAAACACACACAGCGCTACACTCGCGGCGATGCTCTAGACGGCGCTGCACTCACGGCGATGCTCCAAACAATGCTACACTCACAGCAATGCTTTTTGCATACGTCGTTGCTTTTCCTGCGCTTTTTTCACAGCCGGCGTTAGGCCTCTTCCACATATGGTGATGCTCATCCCTATCTTCACGTGCAGTGCTGACTTTTCACGCGTGGCGCTGAATTTTCACTCATGGTTTAATCTAATGCTAGGATATTAAAATTCCATGAAAATTAAATCTTGAAAATCACCTAACTTTTCCATGATTTTTCTGTCACATCAAAATCTAATTTTTTGAATTTTCAAGGGCCATGGTTCCACTTATTGCCCTCCCGACCCAAAACATAGGGCATATTTGGTAGGTATGAAAATTTTAGAGAGAGAAAGTATCTAAAACTTTTAAAGAGAGAAACTATATCAAATTTTAGAAAGAGAAAGTACCTGAAAATTTTTAGGGAGAAACTATCTCAAATTTTTAGAGAGAGAGAGAGACTATTTCAAATTTAAAGTTTTAGAACGAGAGCATCCTAAAATTTTAGAGAGAGAAACCATATAAAATTTTAGAGAGAGTACCTTAAAATTTTTAGATATAAAAACTATCTCAATTTTTCTAGATAGAGAAACTATCTCAATTTTTTTTAAAAGAGAAACTATCTCAAATCTTAAGTTTTTAGAGTAAGAAAATATATTAAAAGAAGATAGAAACTATATCAAACTTTAGAGTGAGATACTACTGCCTACAATTTTTTAGAGAAATAAATATCTCAAAGTTTTCAAAGATAGAAACTATATCAAAATTTAAGTTTTTGAGAGATAAAGTATATTAAAATTTTAGAGATAGAAACTATATCAAGTTTTAGAACTAGCAACTACCTAAAAAATTTATCGAGAGAGAAACTATCTACAAATTTTTAGAGAGAGAAACTATGTCAAATTTTTAAGTTTTAGAGAGAGAAAATATATTAAAATTTTAAAGAGCAATTATATCAAATTTTAAATAGAGAAACAACCTCAAATTTTTAGAGAAATAAACTATCTCAAACTTTCTCAAGAGAGAAGTTATCTCAAATTTTATATTTTAGAGAGAGAAAGTATCTTAAAGTTTTAGAGAGAGAAACTATATCAAAGTTTAGATAGAGAAAGTTCCTAAAATTTTTAGAGAGAAACTATCTAAAAAAATTTAGAGAGAGAAACTACCTCAAGTTTTAAGTTTTAGAGAGAGAAAATATATTAAAATTTTAGAGAGACAAACTATATTAAATTTTAAAGAGAGCAACTATCTCAAAAATTTAGAGAGAAGCAATTTCAAATTCTAAGTTTTAGAGAGAAAGCATCTTAAAATTTAAGACAAAGTACCTACATCAAATTTTTGAGAAAGAAAGTACTTCAATTTTTTCAGAGAGAGACTATCTCAAATTTTTTAGAGATAAATTATTTCAAATTTTAAGTTTTAGAGAGAGAAAGTTAGAAAAACTATATCATATTTTTTAGAGAGAAACTACCTAAAAAGTTTAGAGAGAAACTATTTCAAATTATTAGAGAGGGAAACAATCTCAAATTTTATGTTTTAGACTGAGAAAGCATATTAAAATTTTAGAGAGAAATTATATTAAATTTTAGAGAGAAAAAACACCTGAAAATTTTAGAGAAGAACCAACTCAAAATGTTTAGAGAAAGAATTTCAAATTTAAGTTTTGGAGTGAACGTATATCAAAATTTTAGAGAGAGAAACTGTATCAAATTTTGTTACTAATGGACATAGAAATGATTGTAAGGAATCCATGAATTTTGTATAGTTTATCCAAACAAGAGATTTGGGGAATCCATGACAAGAATCATTGATATTGAAAATCCATCAATATCCTGGGATTCCAAACATCCAAGATTCCTAATTTCCTCCTATCCAAACACGTTAGAATCGTAGATTCAAAATTTCTACGGAATTCAGTTTCTATTTGGTTTTGGTTTGTTCATAGGACCCTCCAAAATAGATGATGACTTTGTAAAAGCAAGGTTGAATGCATCCGCAATCCATGACTTGTAAATCTTGCCTCTTGTTTCTACAATCCCATACTGGTTACATACTAGAGGATTTATGCAATTTGGTGGACTTAGCACCAAAGGTTCTCCACAAAAGAGCATACAGATATCCATAGACTTACAAAGTAGAGTCTAATCAATCAACAACAGTGAAGTTGAGAAAAGCTTCAAAGAAAGGAATATGTCGATGGGTGTGGTTTTAATAGAGCCGAGGCTCTAAATAATCAAAATAAAGCGAACCTTCAAATAGTGGTGACAAATGTGGTTTCAATACTAGAAATCTTTGTGAGAGCCTTAAAATATATTTTTATCTCTAATTATAATTTAAAGCTTCAAAAGCAGCGTAGATCGAGCAGATCTATGTAAACTTGAAAATCTTGAAAAGTGATGGTTCCAAAATACATTACAAGATGTACTATTTTCAAAACTTGATGTCCATTTATTTCTCATGTCCATACATCTTGAGATCGAGACGTTCAATTTGAGGATATTGGAGCATCAAAACAACCTCTTTTAGTGAACTTTTTGAGGTGCGCCCTAATTTCATTGTTTAGAGCCTCACATTTAATATAAACTTTTTCCACGTTGGAATGTGCAACATTTAATTATGTATTTCCAATTTAAAATGTGAAAAAAGGAAAAGAAATTAGTTTTTCTTCTCTGAAGAATCAAATCTTCCCTCGGGAAAATGATTACCACACATTCACACGTTGACAATGAGGCCTGAAATGTAGTGTAATGGCTTTTGCCCTATGTACATCCAAAGAGGATTCAAATTAATGTACTTGGCACTTTTAACGACAAACTCTCTCAAAATTTGAGAATTTGTTTTCTTTTTTACTCATGAAATTTTTTTCTTTTTCTCATGTATATGACTGAACAATAGTAACAAGAATTGAAGAAACAATAGGCAAGGCATGGAAATTTGCCTTGCAGCAAGGTATGATGAAAATGTGACTGAACTCTGTCATCTTCATAGGGATGACATCCTTTCTACACAGAGTAAACTAACTGAGACTGAGAAAGGGGAAGTTTTGATGTGTTGAGCCTAGCAAAAACACCAACCAGCGGCGCCGTGTTGTAAGTACAGGCTTCTGTTTGCATATAATTTCCCCTATGATCCCTGAAATTATCAAGATTATCAGGCCCTCCAACAAGGGCTCCAACAAGAACATTAGGATTGGGTCTAGACCGACTATACCAGTGGTCATAGCCCTGGGTACAACCTATGAAACCCGAGTTCTCCTTGTATGAAACAATGGATGCTCCTCTGTGATGTATGTTAATGGGGTAGTTGGAACCAAACCCCACTAAATAGCTCATTCCCCTTGGGTTAGAACCCAAAATGTAATCCACTTGAGACTTGGCAAACTCAAGCATCTCTTGGGGTCTCACTTCTTGTCCTACACAGTTGAGAATTTTGTTTGCTTTCTGAAGATAATCGGAATAAACTGTCAGTAAAAACGTGGCGGAAGATACATATTGCATGTTGTTCCATTGGCGAACGTAGAGTAAACCGCCTGGCGTCAAGTCAACATTGCTCTCGTTGTTCTTTTGTAGGCAAGAGCACAGGTAGTGCTCAGCCTTGGATTGGTATTGTTTTAGGACATTGGCATACCTCTCTGGCTTCTCTTCCATGAGTACCTGTTTCATGAACATACATTAACCATGGATCAAGAAGATGATAATTGTGATTATCATAACAAAAAGTAGACCAGCCTGAAAGAGAAGCAATAATCCTCAAAAAATGTCAACGAAATTGTCTTCCATTTTATAACAAATAATCGACAATTGTAAAAGTTCAACTAGTAAAGAGATACATTCATTAATAAGAAATCAACAAAGACATCTTCATTATTTAGAAAATAAGAAAAAGGTGAGAGCAGACTTTAAGCGACAGTGGTCAGGTTTGGCGAGTGCCATAAATTGAACTCCAAATTTCTATTCTCACCCATTCTCAAGTTAACATTAAAAAGATAAAAAATAAAAATAAAAGATGAAAAATGATTAGACTGATGGAAAATTAGAAAAACAATAATTCTATCATATAATTTTATGTAGATAAGCAGTGGGATTGGAACTCTTGACATCAGGTTGCAGGTCTTCACCGCCGAAACCTCTAAGCCAAGGGCTCCACTCCCATTAGCGATTTCACTCTTCAAAGAAGATTTACCGTTCAAAAATTGTGGGGGGATAAGCTCATACATCACTACAAATATCTCCTCCTTTACGGGAGATGATTTTTTTGGTAAAGCGTGTCACCCACCCGTCTTGTTTGTGTGCCATTAGATGGAACGAGTGTGCCTTCTGCGGGGTGATATTAATATATCAATACCCAAAAAAAGAAAAACTTAGAGATTCATTTAAGGTCCTCCTGATTTTAGAGTTTGAATGGGTGCTGCAGGCATTTTCCAAAAGATTGCAGGGTTAACTTTTTCTAAAGTTCACTACCAATCAAACTCGAGCCAACAGCCTTCTATCTGGACCCAACACCTCTCTCTTCCCTTTTAATTAGTGTTACCATAATCAACTGGCCAGTTAATACCAGCTTGACCACTCAAACCAATGGATTGGATTTTAGAAAATAAAATAAAAATAAAAAATAGTTAAAAATAAAATATGGTAAAAAAATGTGGCAAAAAATTATGCTTAGTTTTATATAGCCGGTCGAACTCTAAGGGTATAAGACAAAATCAGTCAAATATTATTTTGACTAGTTTCTTCCTAAACCCTATTTTTGCATTGAATCAGATAGGCCTAGCAATTGGTTGGCGGTCCAATCGGCCCGACCCAGTCTTGATAACTTATTGTTTCAATCTTATTTGGAAGAAATATGAAACGAATTCTAGATTGAACCAATTCAAATAAATTGGTCAAAAAATAAATCAGGGTTTTAGCATATACCAACTTTTGAGTACGTCAAGTGGAAATTCTAACAATAACAAAACAATATACCAAGAAGAACTTCTAATCATACAACAACAACAAAACCACATACTAAGAAGAACTTCTAATCATACAACCATACAATCATACAAATAAAATCACACTTATATTTCAAAAGCTTAAAGACTTACATGATACAAACAAATCCAAGCAATTGCAACTCAGAAAGCTCTGCACACTGTTCTTAGACTACAGACTCACTCAAACGTTAGAAAGAGGAGGGAGCGAAAACCTAAACACAGCATTCAAAACTCAAACTTAAGATGCCTTTCTCTAAGGAAGAGTCCCCTTCTTATAATTCAGTTTCGGACTCCAAAGTTTTTAGATTTAGTCTTTAAAGTACCATAGATCTGTCAGCAGCCTCTTATCTTCTTCCACGAAGCATTTTTATTAAAGTAAAGGTGTCGGCAGCGTCATAGTAGAGACACCTGTCTTTTGATTTGACTTAAAGATGTCAGGCAGCATCATAGCTGAGACACCTGTCTTTGATTTAACTTAAAGGTGTCGGTAGAGATAAAGTAGATTTGATGAGCCTCGGGTCGTGGATATAGTGGAGTCAGGCCGGCCCAATAGTCTGCTTTTATTTTTGATGGATTGGGGGTAAGATTCTCGTACTGTGAACACCATTTAAATGTCCTTCTTCTTCGCTGACTGACATTGAGTCTTCTTCAACCATCGATAATAATTTTCCTTTGAGTTCTTCTCTAGATAAATTTGGATTTTTAGTTTGTAGTAGACTTAAATATGAGGATGTTCCTATTGGCTGACCAAGTCCAGGTGTATTGACTTTGATTTTTATGATCTTAATGATTTCGGAAATCTAGTCTTTAGTATCAAAATTGTCCCACCATTTTGTTTGTATGACTCTTTCAAGATGAGGGATATAATCCCAATTTTCATCATCCTCAGTAAGAGTATAAGACCATCTGATGATCCAAGGGATCTCATATAAGATGGTAAATCGGACTAGGGTCTCCATTTTAGACCAGTTTATGTTAGCTGCTTCGAATTTTGACAGTGAACATTGTAATTGTTTGGGATAAATATATGGATCAGGTCCCCAATATAACATCCATTTTTTAAACCATGTAGGTAGTTCATTTACGGCTTCATTAAGCCTAAAACAAATAAACCAACTGTGAGTATTTTGTTTATTCGAGAATATCAGGACCTTTTCCCAGGCTTCGATGTAATCATAATAGTTATAGCTCTTGATTTTAGAACAACTATTTCTAAAATATCTTAGCTTAAGAGGATCGAATCCCCAATCTTTATAGGGCAATATTTTTTTTTATTTGAATTTTTGAGTAGGCCACAATGTCATGCCCCCTATATCTTCGGACAACCTCTATAGATCATATTTCTTTAAGGATCGTTTCATATAACATCTGGGATTTAAATTCATCTTTAGAATGCATGTGATTTATCAGGTAAATTTTTACCATCTCATCTAGATTAAGATATATATGAATATTGTCCATTGGTAAGATGGGAAGATAAGATTTTTCCTTATATTCAGAGGACTGAATTAAGTCTTCCCTTGTATTTGGGTTGTATTCTTTGTAATTTGCTTGTCTTGAGGCTTCACCACTAGGTTTTATTTGGGTTTTTCCCCTGGATTCCCTGCAAAAACTCACGTGTTAAGAAATCTGGTAAAGAATTTGTGTTACTTGAGATATGTTCAATATTGAAGTCAAATATTACTAAGATAGCTTGCCACCTGGCAAATATATGTTTTGAGACAAGTATTTTAACATCTTTTTCTATCACATATTTTGCTGCCTTACAGTTTGTTCTCATTAGAAGTTTTTGATTAAAAATATCATCTTCAAATTTTAAGAAGCAGCAAACAATAGAGAGAATTTCTTTTTTTATTGTGGAATAATTCTTTTGGGCATTATTCCATTTTTTAGTCATAAATCTAACTAGTTGTTCCTTTGTTTGGCATTCTTTGTTTTAGAATTCCTCCAAATCCTATTTCAGAAGCATCAGTCTCTATTATTTTGAAAGCCTCTATAATTCTTTAGCTTTTATTTTGATTTTTCGAACTGCTTGGGTATGTTCTTCTCCCCATTCTGGTAAATTCTTTTGAGACGGTCATAAAGAATTGCACAGTCTTCAGCTAGGTTTTTGTAGAAATCAACAATATAATTAAGACTTCCAAGAAATCTTTGAAGTTGCGTTTTATCTTTGATTTCATCAGGGAAATGTTGAGCAAAACGTATTGCCCTATCAATGGGAATAATTAATTGATTATGTATATTATGTCCTAAAAATCGAATTTTGGTTTGAAATAATTGAACTTTCTTCCTGGATAGGACCAAACCTGCATCTTTTATTGCATGTAGACAGATTGTCAGATGTTTCCAGTGCTGATCTATAGAATTAGAGAAAACCAAAACAGCATCAACGTAGACAATCATAAATTGAGTATATGGCGTAAAAATATCATTCATATGTGTAGGAATTCAGAAGGGGTATTGTTTAACCCGAATGGCATTACATTCCATTCATAATGACCAAATGGTACGGTAAAAGAAGTTTTATATCTGTCTTTTTTTTAGATCTGTATTTGCCAGAAACCCGATTTCATATCAAATTTAGAGAATATTTGGGCTTCGTAAAGTCTATTAAGAAGATCCCTTTTATTAGGGATTGGGTATCTTGTCCACCTTCAAGCTTTGTTCAAAGGCTTATAATTGATGACAAATCTGGGCAGTCCTCTTTCTTTTTCTGAAGCCTTTTCTGCATAAAATGCTGGACAGCTCCAAGGAGAATATGAATTTCTGATTAATTTTTTATCAAGGAGGTCTTGTATTTCCTTTTTAAAGATTTCTAAGAGCCTACTATTCATTTGAATAGGTTGAGATTTTGTAGGAATAAATTTTACATTGAAATCAGTTTCATAAGGTAATTCAACAATATATTTTTTTCTTTGCCTAAAAAAATCATAAGGTAATTCAACAATATATTTTTTTCTTTGCCAAAAAACATTTGGAATATTAGAACAGACTTCCTTTTCAAGTCTGTTTTTTAATTGAATAATTTTCTCCTGACTTAAGGGTTCATTGATCTTTTCTTGTATCTGTTTAGATATTATTTCTTGTTTTAAGATATTAATCAGAGATTCTTTATTCTTTTTTAAAACCATAACTTAATTAATTTCCTTTAATTTTGGTTTTTCAATAAATTCAAATTTAACCTTATGTCCTTGAATTTCAGACTCTATACCAAATTAGTTTAAAGATTTTAGAGGATATAGAAGACTTAGAAAAGGCGTTCCCATAATTGTTTCTTGGGCAAGTCCTTTTAGCATTATAAATGGCATTAGGAAATATGCTCCATTATTGCAAACAACTGCTTCAGAGAGCTTATAATTGATCATAAGTCTTTTTCCATTGGTCGTATTTAATATTTGGGTAGTTTTATCAAAGAATCTTGAAGATACCCGTCCTTCATTAATACAATTAAGATCAGCTCCTGAATCAATAAGATCAATAGCAGTAACACTGTATTCTTTTGAAACCACAATTGTTACTTTGGTATGTCATTTTTGGGTAATTACCTTGTTTATGATATTAATATAATTTTAATTGTCTGAGATCAATATTTTCCAAGATATTGACATTTTCTTCTTGTGGTGGCATATTTTTCAACAAACTCATCTGGTAATGTATGCAGAAGCATCTTCTAATCAT